TATGTAAGAGAATCAGAAATTTTACACTCATCAGTCAGGAGATTTAAGAGAAACAATACAACTAGGGGAAAAATCCGGGAAAAGAAGGAGGAAGAAAATATGAAAAAATAAAATACATTCCTCTGTTGCCGTCGGGGTCACTGTTGCGGCCGGGGCCTTTTCTGGCTGGGCCGGTGCTAGGTGAACAACTTGTTCTTTAACAGGTGGTGCCATTGGAGCCGCTTCTACCATGGCCGGTGCTAGGTGAACGGCTTGTTCAACGACGGGTGGTACCATTGGAGCCGCTTCTACCATGGCATGCGCGACTGCAGCTAGAAGGAGGAAGAAAATATGAAAAAACAAAATACATTCAGTAAAAAAAAAAAACCAAATCCAAGGAAACTCAACAAAGAAAAGACTCGACAAAGAGAAACTTCTCTACCCAGTCATCAGTAGTTTTCTATCCAGTTAGCATTTTCACTGACTGAAGCAAGCGATTGCCATGTTCTGCAATTCTGAACAGAAAAGCGTTGGCGAAGGAGTGAGGTTCAGCATAAGATAAGTTTCAGTTACGTTATCTTTGACATAGAGAGAATGGCAAGGCGACGAGAAAATATTTGTGTTTAGAAATCACAGGAGTCGAAACAAAGTGTCAAGCAAAGATATGCATCATGATATCTTACCTAATTAGAATGCAGCAATTATTGATATCAAAGAGTTGGAGCTGGTTGATGATTGAATTATTGGTATGTGCAAAAGCGGGAAGAAAACAAAGTCGTCTCGCCCAGGCCTTGGCACAGCAAAAACTTTTGCTTGAATGCGATTCAGGAGCCACTGTTTACTTTCAGAGAAGAGCTTGCCTTTCACTATACGCAATTCAAAACTACTCGTTTCTTGAAAAAAGTGGTCTCCATAAATATTCGCAGCATCATGTTAATTGTTTCCCAGTGATAACTTTGTTGTTTCCTGCATCACAGGCGATATTTTCAATCTTGACGATGGATCGACAGTAAGCAGTAACTATCAGCTTCCTTTGATGACGTTAGCTTGAATTCGGGGAACTTGACAGTTCTGTACTGGGGATTTTGGCAAAAGGCCAAAAGAGGGCCATCTCGGTAAATCTCGGAAAACTTGATTTGTCTCTCAGCAGGAGCTTCATAAAATTTCAAATGAGCCAGACGAAATTCCATCAAACGACGAATTCCTTGCTCTAAAGGCCGATTTGGTCCTCTCACCAATTTTTTCAAAATTCCAAGAAGGTCTTCACTGGAAAAGGCAGATATGTCGTACAGCGAAAATTGTGGAATTAACTGACAAAAAAAAATCAGCATCATCGGTGACATGAATGAGATTATGAAAATTGTGGGTTATAAGGGATGGGCTGTAGATTTTCCTGGTATTTTCCATGATGTAAACAAGCAATTCTCGAGCATACCTTCTCTTTCTCTCTTTCGAGCAGTATCTGGAGCACATCAAAATTGTGAGAGCGATATGATAGGCTACGACGAGGTCATACTTTTCAGGTGGTAGGTGGTCTTTCATTACCACTGGCCCCAAATAAATGGCAAATGTGCTGAATTCAGTAGCCTTTCATTTTCCTACGGAGGTTAGTTCCCTTGGTCTTCGGGCAATTTCGCAAGGCACAAACATTCGCGACTGTAAGCGGCGTACTTGTGCTAAGGAACTGAGTCAAGATTTTTGGCTGGCCCTACGCGGCCTGTTTCAGAAGGTTGCTCAGCGTCGGAGGAACTAGACGCATACTTTGAATTAGGAAGGCGTTTCCTCTTAGCCCGTCCGAGGTCTTCTGAATCAGTAGTGTCCAAATTTGATGTATCTGCTGCTTTTCTGCACGTTTTGATAGCTTCTGTTATGTTGAATCGGCAATGTTGTGACCCAGGTAAGGGCCCATTTTTATGACCAATGCAACACTTTGGAGAAGAATCGAGTTTCTTGTCGTTGGACGATGGGCAAGATCTAACTTCTTCAATGCGTTTTATAGCTTGCTGCAGAGGTTTACCACCTTTAAGTATATAATTTCTAAGAATCTGCAGGTATGACTCGAAGTCGAAAGCACTGCATTCTTCAAGATTTTGGAAGGAGTTGAGATTATCGGGAAGATGAATAGTGTTGCGGATATTGATTTATGCGATTTTATCGGTTGATTATCGCGATTATATTGGTCGCAATATATCGAGATATTATCGCCTTAAAAATCGCGATAAATGGCGATTAAATCGCAACGAATCGCAATTTTTGATTCGATAAAATCGCGATAAATTTTTGTCGATAAAATGGAGATTAAATCGCCATTTATCCGGATTTTTATTTCGAAAATATCGCGATAAATTGTCGGGTGATAAAATCGAGGATAATTGCTCAGATGTTGATGATCCTGGCGATTTTATCGCCGATAAAATCGCAATATATAGCGATTTTTCCGCTGAGAAATGCTATTTGGGATGTGGCCTCATCATAGAGCAGGATGTATTCCCGAAAGTTTTATTGATTTAATCCTTTAATTATTCTGGGAATCTTGTGTTGTCACAAAGAGCAAGTATCTGCTGTAACTATTCGTTTAAATTTGTCTATTCAGCATTTAACTAAATTAATGTCATGATTGGTAGCATTTTTGATGAAAGCACTTAAATTGGTTTTATTAGACTTTTTATAGTTTAAGACTCATTAACATATTATCCCTTTTTTTTTGTACTAAATATCAATTTGCATTTTTGGCACGATGATTCAAAGGAACTGCTACTTGGTGTAGTTACTGTCACTATCTGTAAAGTGTTATCACCAATTTATTACTTCATGAACCATTATGGAAAACTCATATTTTTGTAAAAGCTCAAATATACTGTTCACAGCAACCAAAAGAAGTGACAACGTTGCTGGCCGTCAACTTGTTTTCACAGATATTTTCCCTCCGTCATAACAAATTTTAGTTTAATTTAGTATTACAGTTTAAAATTTAAGTATATAAATGGTTCACATAGAAATTACCAAAGAGGCGTCACTTCTCTATGCTGTGCTTAAAAATATGAAACCCGGGTCTGACATTACGATCACTTTCATCTTTTTCTTTCAAACAAAAATATAGAAGAAACCTGTGAGCAAGTTAACCATTGAGGCATAATGTAGAAATAAGGAAGGGATAAAATGGTTCATCCTTAAACGAGGAGACATTTTCTTCACAAAATTGTATTTGAATGCTCACTACCCAAAAAATTCTTCTGTGTCCCTTAGAAATTAATGATGAAGTAATTTTCTTGTTACTATTTTAAGTCTGAATAAATTGAATTTTTAACGTTTCCTCATATTGCTTCCTTTGAGAGTTCCCCCTGTCTTATTTTTTTGACTGTGCGTCAAATGTATAGAGGTCTGAGCACCTGCTTTACTTGCGATAGTCAGCGATGAGAATCAATCAGCATGCCACTCGCGACTTAAAGTAGAAACTGATCCTAATTTGCTTTTGCGAAATATAAACGCCTTCTTAAACGAGACATGCATCGATAAAAGCAAATGATTTTTCAATTCGTTTCATTTACTCAGGTTTCAGGACATTTTGTCAACGATTTTTTGTCCGCGCACCTTTTTGTCCAATAGTTTACGCCCATACGTAAAATAAGCAACAGTGACTTGGTCCAAGCGTTACATTTTAGTCGGTATGTAAAATTATATTGACAATATGGAAATGAGAAATTGAGAGAGAAGGAGGTGTTGTTATGGTTGCTCATTTTCTAAATGAAATGTTGTCACTTTCTGCTTTTGAATCATCTTTTTAAATTGTCATTGGTGAATATTTGGTTTTATTTCTATCCTTAAAATATTGAATGTACAATATACCTTATATTTGTATACGTACTTTTTTTTTTTTTTTTTCTCTACGAAATTATTACTTCATTTTGAAAACGCAACGTTTTTGAAACAAGACAAATATTTGTAAACCCTTTTCCAAGCGACATTAATATCAATGAGCCGCTTGCAGTTGTGCCGACAGAAACTGCAAACATGAATAAAAGAGGAAAAAAACCAAGAAGCACGCAATCTTTAGTTTTAACCCATTTGCACATCGATCTTTTGGAGTCAAATACGTCAAATTTTAAGCGTTTGATTGCGCGTGCACCTCGGGCAGCACAATAAAAGCACAAAATGTAAAAGAAAAAACTGCTTTGGAAATCATTAAATTTGACACGGAACCACCAATATTTAAAAAATACACAGTATATTATTATTCTCCTTTGATAAATTAATACATATTTTTTTCCCATCAATTTAAATGAGAATAATCAATGTAGAGTGTGCTAACATTTCAAAATCATGAGTTAAAAACGCTGACTATGCGAGTATGAATATTAAAGCCAAACAGAGCGGAGCGGCGTGCTGCCAGTGCAAGAGGCTCACTGGCGCCTACAAACCTAAGTGGATACTTCACGAATTGCTCAATGCTTGAAGTATCCACTTAGGTTTGTAGGCGCCAATGCGCGTTTTGCGCTGGCCGCCCGCCCGCCGTGCGGCGGCGGCGCCTGAAGCAACTATTTCACAACAGAGGTGTTGCACAGTATTATACGAAATTAAAGGTATGAAGAATGACAGGCATCCTTTAAAAGTACAGATCTTTCCTCGCAAAATAAATCAAGATACTTATCGTACACAGGAAAAATCTAAGAGCCTTTAGCTGAGGCAAATATAGAGGTTTATCCGGTTCAGGTATAACAAGGTGGGAATTTCTTGAAAGATACTTAAGTCCTGTTACACCAAAGAGGTGTATAGAGTCTTAGTGAATTTTGTCTCATGGAATTGACGCTCCCCCATTTTTACCAAAACTCTCGACTATATATTACTCTCCGTTGGACCAAACAGACAAAACAAAAACACAAGCAAACCCTCATTCTTCCAAGACATAATATATTTTCATCCAAAAACGTCGTGAGCAATTGTCGTTTGTATTTACATGTGGGCCAATTAACTTTGGGTCTTAACTGGCACGTGGACCAAAACTCCCGTGCCGGAAAAACGCGTGGACGTAAATTACTGGAAAAAACAGGTGCGCGGACAAAAAATCGTTGACGAAATGTCTTATAACCTTTACTCATAGTAGTTTTGGTTTTGAAAAATAAATCCCACCATGGTATTGCTGCTATGCTAAGGAAGGGAGCACTGAACAGATTCTTTTAAAAATAATCCAACCTGCAGTCTTTGTTCTCCATACTATTAAGAACTATTCTTAAAAAAACTGAGAAATGCATAAATATGTACATATATTTTTTAATGAGCGTATTGTCCAGGAAAAAATGGCAGAAATACAAAAAAATAATCTCTACCTTAGCATACAGACATAGCTCTCGGAAGATATCCTAATGAGTATACTAGAAACTTTTACAATCCAATTAAATAATTCAGAGGGCTAAGGTTCATGGAAATCTTGCACACCTACACTGGTAAGAATTAAAAACTGGAATAAAAAACAGAAGATAATGAACAGCCACATTTTATTAAGTAAAAAAACATCAAATAAAGAAAAAATAGTACTGAAAGTAATTCTAAAGAAAATCATAACAAAATTAAAAAATTCTAGTTTGTACCTATCAAAAGAGGAACTAGGAGAAAAAAAAAAAAATTTATGAGTATGTATGAATAGTAAAAATTCTAAGTCCTATTAAATTGACAATCTGGCAACTTTCACTCATTAAGTAACAAAAATTAATTTTGATGAAAAACTTAAATGTAAATTTTTGCAAATTTAACATTTTCTAAAAAAAATATAAATGTAAAGCAAGTCGTTTCGTTTAAAATCGCAGTTTTGTTGGCCTCTTTGCATAATGAGCCGATAATAGCTCTACAAAGTGGACACTTGACGGGTACATAGTGTAGGAATGGTGGGTGGCGATTGTGCCATCTGCAAGGGTATAAGTGTACTTCGATGGTTTTATACCGGCCAGTATACAATTGGAACAGAAAATGGCGTGCCCGCAGGGGTCGGCAGAATATACAAATTCCTCTTGCTGGCAGAATACACAGATTTATTTTTTATTCTGCCTGACTTTGATCTTATTCCCTACGGACACTGCCATTTTCAGAAGACTATGCTACTTCTTAGACTGCCGCTTGGTAAAGTGCATTTTCTCATCTGCTGTGACCGCCATTCTCTGCCATGCTGGAACAGAAGAAGAAATCCTCATTACTTTTGAACAATAAAAAAGTAAAGCTTGATACAACGGAAAAATTGATCTAAAATGTATTTGAAGGAAAAATTTGATTAAAATCGGACAAAAACAACCTTCAAATATTTTATGTAAACATAAACATGAACAACTAATACCTTCTTCCTCATCTGACTCGCTTGAACTGTCAGTCGGGTCATTCAGATTACATCCTCCTCTGTTGATCCACTGGGTCATTTGATTATGAACAGCAGCTGTAACAAAGATGCAACATTATTAATTAATTAAAAATCCTCAAGCAGACCGACTTGAGAAGAAGCTAACTAAAATAGTAAACTGACTTATCAGAGGGACTGAAATATGTAAATTACACATGCTTCATTAATTACAGTAAAATCTGAGTCTCATTTGTACGTAAGTTGTTAATATGATCCAGTGGCTTCCATAGCACCTCCCTCAGCTAACTACTTGAAAAAGTGCATCATTTGACTTAAAATAGCAGTCTAGGGAGTTATTGGCACCATTTAATGACCAAAGGATTAATAATAAATCAATAAACATGGTCGCTTTTCCTCCTTTTAAAATTGCCAATTCTCTCAAATAATGTGTAGAATCTAGTCTCCTTACCATATCCATCTATTGAAAAGTATTAATAGAAAACTTAGAATCACACAATTCAAAGACAAGCGAAAAAAAAAGAAAGAAAAACAAGCTGCTGGTTCCAACACTACTGTGTTGGAGAGCTCGCCTTCGTGAAACTATTAACATGACAAATTTTTCACACCGCAATAAATAAACTGAATCATTAATAAAACAGAAGATAAGAGTGAGATAAGACAAAATACAATAGAAAAATGGTACAACGAAATTTATTGTAAAGTTGACAGGGAAAGATGAACTAGGACAATTATTGGCAATAAATTTTATTAGTGGATGTACATGGGGCATGGTGTTTCTGATTACTGTCTGACACAGTTCCTGACAGTTTTGATGCCTTATTCAGCTAGATGTTGTTTCCACAAATTTATCAAATTATAATGCACGTCCACCTGTATATATGCAAATAAAAAAATAAATAAAATAAACAACAAACTCAGTTTATTTATTTATTTTTTTTTTATTTTTATATTTGCATATATACAGGTGAATGGTCACTGAATTCAGTGTAATAAGTTTGAGCATTATAATTTGATAAATTTGTGAAAATAACATCTAGCTGTGATCCATATTGTGTTGTTACAGAGTGTGTTGGTAGTGCTGAATGAATTTCGTATTTATGAAATAATTCATGATAAATTGTGTTTTCTTGCTTCAACACGTCATAATTGAAATCTCCTATAATTACAATTTTTGCAGCATAAGGTAAAAATTTAAGTATGGTATTTACATCAGATTTAAAATATTTTTTTTTATAAGCAGGAGATACATATCCTGATAATATATATATTGATTCATGCTTAGCCAAAAAAAGTTGGCAAACACTGCTTTCTCGTTCTCTGTTTATGAATCTTAAAATTTTCAGATTTTGCCGACGATGGAGCGACTCTTCTAACAAAATGTTCACCTATGCCGTAGTATCGTTTTTGAAGCGGGAAGCTCAAAAAAACGCAAATTTCTTACGCAGATTGTGAAGTTATGAGTGCATTTCAGAGTTTTCCGATGCGCTCATCGTGATTTTTGAGGCATTATCTATAGGAAACAACTCTTATTTTTGCTCTAGCAAAAGTTTGCAACAGGCCCATTATTAGTCAATGTAACGCATATTTGCTCTGGTTATAAAATGTAAAACTCGGTAAAAAACGTACATCAACAAAAATTCTGTGACCAGCGCATTATCAGATCCAAAAATTTGGCAACATTGTTCTTTCCTCATTTAAACATATGTAAATGTATCGATTCCAGGAGGGGCCAAGTGCTCCGCCAAGAATCGATTATTCAACACAGGTTTAAATGGAAGGAAGGCAGTGTTGCCAAATTGCTAAATAGTAGCCCATTAATATGAGTACATATTACCTTGTACAATCTAATTTTTCAACAAAACTCAACACGAGTCTTTCACATAACAAGTAAATTTGAATCTGTAAACTATAAACCTTCTTTTCCTGCGGACAATCATGTGTAAAATTCTATCACATTTATTCTTCGTCTTTCACAAAATTATTAAGATTTATCTGGAAAGTAAGTATAGTACTTCGTAAAAAATAGGAAGAAAATAAATGAGTTCAAAAAGCAGTACCTGGTTTGTAGAGCGTCTCTTCATTTTATCGGAAATAGAAAAATTCAGGATGTCACTGTCTCATCGGAAAAAACACTCTGTAACCGAGGAAACTGGAAGATTCTCTAATAAGATAGCATAGAGATAGGGGGGTTAACCTAGCTAACCTAGTCAGCTGATAATTTTATCGCAACGGAACAGCAAAAAAATAGGACTTCAGTTTTTGAAAATGTGAACGGAAAATAATACATATAAATAATTTAGCATAAAGGTGAACACATACACAAACAAATTCGTGTTGGTGTGAGTCAAGTCTGCTCGGCCACCGGAAAGTGATGCTCTCTAGTGTAGCAAACGAGGAACAATTCATCCTCAGTTGAATGAGGGAACGGAAATGTTCGACGGAGGAAAACTGTAACCCGCGAAAATTCAACTTTTAGACCTTGAAATCAATGGGATTTTGGCCGTTCCTCCGACGGCAACGAGAACCATCCATTTGTCGCCACGGACACTACCAATGCTAAAAGAAATCGATCGCAAAGAGCTCTCCCGAGTGGGCGAGCTCAAAATACAGTGAGTTATTGCATCTATTTCATTTTATTTTTTAAAAAGAGGTGCTCGATGTCATAATTTTTATTTTTAATTTTCCTTTGATCTCGTTTTCTGTCAATTTTTTCCTCATGTTTAATTGACAGCAATGATTTTGGATGCTTGGTTACTGATCACAACAAAAACTTATTGAGTGACGAGCCATGAAACATTATGTGGTTGAAAGTCCAATAAAAGAAATGATGTGATGTGATTAATTGTTTTTGCTTGCATCAGGTAATCTAATTATCTTCGTGGCTCATAGAGACCTCAAGAGCTGAAGGAGAAAAGCAAAGATGTTTTCAGAAACCAATGAAACATAATAAAACCAAGTATTTTTAATTTTATAAAAACAACCTAAGACTAAAAGCCTGATTTCAATGATGTAGGGTTAGACTAAAAGCCTAATTTCAATGATGAAGGGTTACACAAAAGCGAATTCTTCATGGAGGTCACAATAAATATATGTATAAATAATTCTGGTGGATTATGAAAATTCAGTTGAGAAAAAAAAATTGATTTTTAATAAATCAGAACTTCCAGGATTCTATTGAGAAACAAACAGCCCTGTTTTCATTATCACTGCTATGCAAGCCATGAATGTAATCACGTATTAAAATTCTTCATCACACTCCAAAATTAAAAACAATACTTACCGACACGAGAACTGTCCTCTTCCAAATCGTACTCATAGATATTATTTACAAGGTCTAAGCTATGAGTTTGAGCCCTACGACCTCTGGCTTGACGCCCTCTGCACTGAGAAAAAACTATGGTTTATAAACCTATTAGAGGTAAATATGGAACACCTATAATAGTCGTAAATAAACTAATGATTCTCGGTCTGTGAACCATACTAAGGTCTCTGTACCTAATTAAGGTACAGAGACCATAACTAAGGTATATGTGCTATTATTATATGTAGAGGTACTACTATTAGTGGTGTTCCATATTTACCTCTAATAGGTTTATAAGCCATAGTTTTTTCTCAGTGTGTGAGATGCTCCTCGAGAGGCATTTTCATTGCTGTCAACTGCAGCCGTGACTATTTGCGTTGTTCGGGAACTGCCGTTGGTAACCCCTCTATTAGGTCTTCTTATCACCCTTGTTCTTATTCTCAGCGATGTTGTTTCTGCATCAGAGAGAATAAATATGTGTATTTATTTACCTAAGTCTATCCTAATTCTCAAGAGAAATTATTTCCTGATCAGTAGCTCTACAATACCTTCTTACGTGTTAAGTTTTCGCGGTCATGTTAGACTTGGTATCTCCAGCAATCAGTCTCGGCTCTATGCCCACTGTTACAGGCGAGAATTTGCAAATTTCTATCCGATCACACCACAATTCATGGACTTGATAAACTTTTGAGGTGGGAAGTTTTTTGGGTCAGCTTAGACACAAAGTCACTTATGGCCAGTCCGATTCTGTAGGTTTGCTCTGAGCAAACCTAGTGGGCCGCCCTTTGGAGTGTTAAATATTGAGTTTCCTACTGGGCGCACTGAAAATGTTTGCGCTCTGTGCTGTTAGGTAAACTTTTAAGAATGAATGAACATTCGAGAAAAATATTAGAGCTTTAGACAGCACCCCCGAATTCTTCAAATTCAAATTGCAACCTGACGCAAACATACCAGAAAAATGCAAGAAACATGGCAAGTAATTGAGACCTAAAAAAAGATTGAATTAAACTAAATACATTGAACACAAATGGTTTAAGCTATTCTTACCTTCAGTTCGATCTAACTTCTTGCTTATTTCAAGAAGAGTGTTGTTGCTGCCGCTGTCGTTATGCAATGTCAGTGAAGCGAGGGGTGGTCTTGATGGATTTTGCAGCTGATGCGCTGTCTCTCTTGAATTTGCATCACTGAAAAAAAAAATCTCGGTGTATTTACTAAGAAAAGGGTAAAATTACCAAGAATTCAGGGTTCTATTTGATCCCAGTTTTTTCTTGGTAAAATTACCATTTATGGAATTGGGAATTTTACCGAGAAATCTCGGTAAAATTTTTGAACTCTCTCGGTAATTTTACTGAACCTTGGTAAAAACGCCAATATTTTTTATAGACTGTGGTAGAATTACCGAGATGAAATTGCAAAGTTACCAGGAATTGATTCCCAATAAAAGTAGTATTTTTACCTAAAAAAAAACAGTAAAAATACCGGTTTTTAGGTAAGCTTACCAGTCTGTCTCGGTAAAATCACCAATAATTGGTAAAAAAGTGAGATGGTAAAGATACCAACGGACCTTAGTAAAAACGCCGAGAATTTTGTTTCGGTGAGGGGTGTTAGCTCTGCGCTGTTGATAAGTTGCCGCCTTTGAAGTTAAGGGGGTGTTAGCCCTGTGCTGCGGATGAACTGCCTCTCTTAAAGTTGCGGAGGTGTTCGCCCTCACTTGGCCAAGTCTGTCCAGTTTCTCTTTGCTCTAAGTTGAGTATGCAAACGGGAAGCTGTCTCT